CACGATAATTATGATAATTTGTCTCATATTTGTGTGGGCTGGACTGCGCTCTTGCCACGTCGGATTCGGTTCGGTAGAGTTGGTCGCCAAATGGGAGGCAGCGCCCTATGTGACGCACAGCGGGTCCACGGCGGACGACCACAAAATAGACGCCTCATCCTCAGGTTTCGTAGAAGGTTCTGAGGACTTCTGAATGGACTATTTGGGATACGTCAACCCGTCCCATTCACGCCGTCTCATCATTCAGTCCTCAACTGGCTTCGCCCTCCCGTCGGCGTATATATACCAGTTACCCTCGACCCTTCACTTCTTTCCACCAAACTTGACCCATTGCCACTCCCTCACCCAGACTGCCTGCGTAATCAACCAAACCCACCTTTTCTGCTTTTTATTTTTCAGCACTGCTATTCGCAATGCCGCATTCGCCTACCAACTCGCGCAGCTCGAAAGGCTCGCCAAAGGTAAGCGAGTCACTAGCGACGACTCTCCGCGAAAACACACTCACCCTCTCCCCTCAGCCCGCAGACGCCATTATGGAGCCTTTTGACCTCTGGATCGCTACCTATGACGATAAACAGCTCCGTCCCTACGGCCAAGTTCCCGAAAGTGAAGAATTCAGCCGACGAAGCTCGAATTCACACACTCAGCTAAATCCTGCGTTGCTGGCAATGAGCCAACCATCTACATCTCCTACCAGCTCAACACTCGTCTCTCCCGAGGGCTCTCCCCCACTCGGGATGCGCCATCTTTTGGTCACTCTAAGGCGCATCGAGGTCGACTTCAAAATTACCAATTGGGAAATGCAAGCCCGTTCGTCTGTCATCTCGATGACGTTCAGCCCGCCTCCCGAAATCGGTGGACTCGTTTTCCGCGTCGATATTCCCGGAAAGTGGTGGAACGAAATGCGCCTCACTCCCGAGGATGTCAGGGGAGCACTGCGGAAAGAGGTCGTGGCAAGGCTGCAAGGCCGGCTACCTGAAGAGGTGTTTGTGCGTGAATATGTGCGTGTTAACTTTTTTGTTTCATTCGCTCACCGGTGACCTGCCCGCCCGCCATCCACTCTATCTCACCTCACGTGCGCCCAATATGCTAACCTCTCGCCTTCCCCTTTTAGGTCAAATCTCTGCGGGCCGACCTGGAACACTGCGTGCATACTCTCCCCGTGGCCTGCTTCGACTTCTCACTGATCTTGCCAAACACTGCTAATGGCTCCGGCGATTTGACCATGTCAAACTACTCGCCCTCTTCTTCACGGGCTTCGCCGCGGGCCTCTACGATACCAC